TAAATTGTGCTGTGCATTTATGAATTTTGTTTTGCAAATGTGTTATTTTTGAGGCTGATCTGTCTCCATACGGCAGCGGTATACTACGCTTTTTATATTCGTCTAACAAAGCATTTGTTTAATGACATCTTTTTTTATGACTGAAGGCCAGTACCAATACTTCTGATATCTCTATAAAATTGTTTTTCCCCAACTAATATTTAACCATTGACTATAGCCATTCAACGTTACAGTATAAACTGAGAGCTAACAATCTTAACATGTATTAGACTTAAAAAAAAACTTCTAATTTAAGTGAACTTAAAACAGTCTTCACATAAACCCATTATAATAAATCTCAGCCAAATTTGATCCCTTCAACAGAAATATACAGAAATTGAAATTGAAGCTATTGACACTAGTGTTTATTGACACTAAATTCTAAATTAAATATAGATGAATTCTTAAAGCTATAAAAGTTATTGATTTTCTCTTTTTTTTTCTTTGTCCTTTGATTAATAGACATCATAGCAGCTGGTTATGAGGTTATTTGGCTGTTATTTCGTTAAGAGCTGCCGCTGCTGAACATGACACAGATCTGACACGCATCACCTTTTTGGTAACCTCATGACTTAACTGACCACGACATTGCATGCACGTAGTTTATTTTGCGCTTTGATATGAAATGATACAGGCTACAGCAGGCGCTGGCGCTTTTGTGCGTGCAATTGAAGAGCACGCGCTGCGAGCACAGTACCGTTTCCGCACTCGTTTGAATAGCGCCTGGCGCTGAAGTGAAGTGGTGGCCAAACCTAGCTCCGCCCCTGCGTTAATTGCGTTAAATATTTTTGTGTCAAACTGAAAATATTAATGCGTGTCTGAAAGTCTCCCGTTTGATGAGGTCGTAAAGAGATACGGCGGTTGCACGTCTTAATAAATACACTTCTTGTCAAGGAAAAAAAAGCGACAAAAACTGCAGTTGTAAGTGGGGTGGCCAAAGGGGTAGCCAAGCTTAGGTCAGTGGTGGCCACGGCCACCCCTGGCCACCCCCTGGACAAAAAAAATAAAAAAAAGACAAAAGGCTTTACATTTGTATAAGTTTTACTCGCAGTATTACTCGCTTCAAAACAAGTACTTCATTCAGGAAATATCCTTCTTATCAGCCATCATGCATGTCGTAAATAAATAAAAGTTTATAATACACTAATTTTTACTGTCAACAATAAACAGCATTCATATTTGCATCTCACAAAAGGACTTAATTTCGCTCTGCAGTAATGAACTTGGCAGAAACGTGTAATGAGAGTGAGAAGAGAAAGTCACCGGTCATGGTGAATCCACCCACGAACAGACCGATGTCTCGGCCGCCGACCATGATGGACTCGCTGCGGTCAGTTCCCTGCGAGATCCCGGAGCTCTTGTTCTTCCACGCCGCCCAGATTCCCACCATTAAGATCAACACGTAGAAGATGACAATGGCCAGCAGGCCGTCCACGTGAATGGCCATCTTACACTGACCTACACAAATCACAGCAACACTACAACAACTCGTTTTGTAATTTAGTAATGACGCTTTCACATATTAACATAGAATTTGTTTTCCTTTTATCTGTCACAACACTTATTGTTGAATACATAGAATCTTTCCATTTTAAATGCAACTTTCAATTTTGTTTTAATTTCAAATTAAAAAATGCTACGACTAAGCAACAAGTAGCAGTAGATTGCATTATAATTGGACTCATAGTACATGGTAAAAATAAAATCAATAAAACAAATATATTGTTAGGTACCCCTGCAGACAGTCAGTGAATCCTGAGCGAGAGAACGAAGGCGGAGAGCGGCTGGATGCAGGAGGAGCGCTCATCACCGGAGACTGGAAGAGGACCAACTTACTCCACAACTGTGTTATACTGCTCGCTCTCTCTCTCTCTCTCTCTCTCTCTCTCTCTCTCTCGCTCGCTCGCGCGCG